GTGTGAGTTTTATTAGTGTTCTGTAGATTCTGTAAAGGGTATTATATGTTTTACTATTTTTGTCTTTAATTGGTTAAATGATTCATCATATTACTATATTTTACAGTATATTAAAAAAAATGTTCCTTTCAATCGCTTTGTAAATTGTTTATGAGTAAACTTCATTTTGCTTGAGGATAAGTTTTCATATTTGAATTCCTTACTGATTTTTATTAGGTACCTTGCTTACTTTACGAATTTTAACTTTATAAATGGGAAATTGACTGAAATTGCATTTTCTCGAAGGGTGGATCAGCTCGGATTTCTAAAGAAACGGGAAAATGAGTACGACACCATCCAAAATAACCTGCTGCTCCCAGTTTTTGTCGTAATTTTTTTGTGAGAATACTTTCCTTTAAGCTTAGTGTGTATATATAACTATTGTCACGAATGGTCACGTTTTGCTAGAACCCTCCCCCCTCCTAGGGCGTAAGGTCCTTTATGGACGACCCCTAACACGTCTTTAAGATGCCTATAAGGCAAAAACTTGAATGACGAGTTACGACATATTTAAGATGTCTTTGTGCTGTCTGTGTGAGTTTTATTAGTGTTCTTTAGATTCTGTAAAGGGTATTATATGTTTTACTATTTTTGTCTTTAATTGGTTAAATGATTCATCATATTACTATATTTTTTTCAGCTAAGCATTTAATTATAAAATACAACGACCATGATTGTTTATTACTTTTACAGTATATTAAAAAAAATGTTCCTTTCAATCGCTTTGTAAATTGTTTATGTGTAAACTTCATTTTGCTTGAGGATAAGTTTTCATATTTGAATTCCCCTATTAAAAATGCCATATAGAAACACAAAATAAAAATCTATCTGGTTCAATATAGGAATTTGAAACAGGCATTGCACTATTGAACCAGATAGAATTCCATACCTGGAAAACCATATAGAAAAGTGATTTCTATATGGATTGCCATATAGGTTCATATTGCTCTATCTGGCCCAATATGGTTTGGGTGTGAAAAAATTATTACCATATAGATCCATATTTAACCATATAGGGGATTCTATATGGTTTAATATGCAATTTTCGTTTAAATATATATATACATTTTAAAATGGAATTCAATATTCAACCATATAGGGAAACCTATATGGAAAAACACATAAAACAGAAACCAGATAAATCCATATAAAAATCCCTAAGTTGTACATTTTAAAATGAAATTCCATATTAAACCATATAGATTCCAAAGTGCAAACCAGGTCGTTCCATATAGGACATATAGAACCATATAAATCCATATTAGTTTCCTTATCTGGATCAATATGGGTTCTATAGGGCATTTTTAATAGGATCCTTACTGATTTTTATTAGGTACCTTGCTTACTTTACGAATTTTAACTTTATAAATGGGAAATTGACTGAAATTGCATTTTTTCGAAGGGGGGATCAGCTCGGATTTCTAAAGAAACGGGTAAATGAGTACGACACCATCCAAAATAACCCCCTGCTCCCAGTTTTTGTCGTAATTTTTTTTTAAGAATACTTTCCTTTAAGTTTAGTGTGTATATATAACTATGGCTATAGCAACTACAACTTAAACCCATGAAATTTCGTAACTGTGCGATTTTGCATTATTACACAACACTATGCGTAAAGTGGCGTTTACTTAGGTTGTCAGTTGTACAAAATTTGGCGTTTTACATAAAGGATTTTCGGAAACCTACTCTGAGTTAGTTACCCGGGTGCCAAGAGTCACGTAACCGGAACTTAAAGGTTAATTACTTCACTTTAATAAGCAAAAAGCACAAATATGTCAGTTCTTTTTCAAAGAAAACCGTCTATATTAAATATTAAAATACCTTAAAATAAAGAAAAATTCCACACTTAAAAAAAAGAACAGATGTAATAATATAATGTTGAAAAAACATAAGAATATTTTTCTCCATATACAGGGTGGAGCAACTTGCTTATTTAGAAATTCAATCAAAAAAGTAAAATATTTAATTTTTTAAACAGCATCAAGTACAGCACAAATTTTATGTTTACATAGTTTTAAAGATGATATCAGGCAGGTGGCGTCTGCAATGTAATCATATTTAAGGTTGTTAAGCCCGATTATTAAGTTAATCCTATTAGCTATTAGCAATTATTATTATTATTATTATTATTATCAATTCACCTACGAAAGGAAAAGTTATTTTATTTCATTTATTATATAAAAAGGGTGATAAGTTAATAAAGAGTTTAAGACATACCGTCAAGTAACATTACATGGCGATCCTGCCTAAAAAGAGTTTGTCTTCTAAAGTGGAAGTGTAGTTATATCATGGGAAAAACAAATTCCAAACATTCGGAAGTGACAGACACTGGGGTAGTGAACTCAAATTTTATAGTGGAAGAAAACGCTATTCAAGTGCCTACGGACATTAAAATTTTATTGTATATAATAGTTGTAGCTTTATTATTATCAGTGGGATTAAATTTAAGAAAATCTTACCGCAGAGGACTTAAAAGAGACTTGTCTAGAAGTATGGCAACAATAAGAACTCAAGCTGATATTCTTTAAATGTATAGTTAGTTATATACATAAGTAAAAAGTAAAGACATATGTGACCAACAACAGCAACCCTAGACGTCAACAAGTGTGGTAAAGTAAAGAAAAAAATGTGTGAGTGTGTTAAAAGTTTTGTGAGAGTGCTCTAAAAATTGTTAAAACCTGCGTATTGCCATGGACACCACCTCACCAATGGAACGAATGGAATGACCACCACCAGTATTACCCACTTTCGTCACCTTTATGAAGAAGTAAACGTATTTTATAGAAATTTATTAAAAGACAAGAGCCAAAGAAAATCAGACATAAATGTCACTAACCGTAAGTTAAGTAAATTAGATAAACTAGGAAAAGAATTTAGTTATAGTCTTTTAATAAAGACAATTGTACAAGCATTTAGATGCAGAGGTAAAAGAAGCTAAAGAATTTGTTAAAGCTATTGATACAAAAATTAAAAATATAGAAGGTATTTTAAAAGAAACATTAGAATTAAGTGGTAATAACCAAGGGTCGGCAGAAACGCAAGAGATTAAGACAGATTCGGAAACGTCAGATGAAGATGGTGTAAATAAAAATAGTTTAATTAATAAAAACACAATGGCTGAAAAATTCTGTCTTAAGACTGCTGCAAGCTTGCTACCCGTTATGAACGGTTCATAGGATACTACAAAACAATTAATTGACTCAATGGAACTTTACGATTCAATGTTAAACGATGAGGGTAAAAAATTGTTAATTAATTATGTTTTGAAGACTAGGTTGTCACAAAATGCAAAAATGCGATTAGGAAAAACGTATGCGACTATCGAGTTATTAATTTTAGATTTAAAAAAGCATTTTATAACAGTTAAATCAGCAGCTTCACTGTCGGTTCAACTAGCCAATACGAAGCAAGGTTCCAAGCAATTGAGGAATTTGGTAAAACCATCGAGCAGTTGCTTATAGATCTTACTGTCTTACAGGCAGAAGGTAATGATGGGGTATTAAAAGTTTTAAGAAATGCGCATGAAAAACGGAATAAATAACGCGGAACTTCGTACAATAGTAAAAGCTAGAAACTATTCAAAGTTAACAGACTCGATAAGCGGAGCCAAAGACGAAGAATGCGCGAGACCCAGTTATAATAAGTGCGGTTCGGAACACATTTTTAATATTAGAGGTCGTGGAAATTTAAGGCGAGGATATGGATCCAAACAGTCTACCAGAGGGGGACAGTTCAATTCGTACCCTAGCAGAGGGTTTAATTATAATAATCGTAGTCAAAATTTTCTAAGTAACTTGCGTGGGTCATACAATAATACAAGTCATAGCCGAGGTCGTCCCTTTAATCGGCAATATTTCTATCCCCCAAATTTTAATAGCAGTGGTCAAAATAATCAACAAACCTGTAATCGCGGTAATAGAAATTCTAGAGTTATAAATAATAGTGCCCTTAGAGCTTATTGCGCGCGTGGTAATCGTGAAAGTGAGGAGACGGAAAATCCCATAAATAATTTTTTTCGTTAAATTAAAAAATGAGGAAACTTAACTGTTTTTATTACTTTACTATAACTAATTTTTGTTTTTCAAAATAAAATTTGGACTTTAATATAATAAAGATGTTTCTATAAACAAACCTTCCCAGTAAGCACAAGCTAGCCGGCCCGCATACGGCCCGAATACGTTTTGCCGAATCGGCGCCGCGGCGTGTAGAACGGACATGTCCGCCTGGCCAATTGTCGGGCATATCCGCCTGGCCGAATGTGGGCTATGTTTACTCGGCCGAGTGTCGGCTGTGTATAGTTGGCCGAGTGCCAGCCACAACCGCCTGGCCATTCAAAAAAGCCTACAAGATACTTCTTTAACACACTCGACTAGCTAGACATTATTCGATACTGAGCAGATGAGGATAAAGATGGGGACTACAAACTAGTAATGTTCAGCTATGCCATTACGGACGCACACTTCCAACTAAATATTGCAACCAATCGCTATTTATAGTTAGCTCGCGTGCGTAAGCAGCCGTGAAGTGTATCGCTTTTGCCGAAGGATTTTGCAGCGGCATGCCATATTCTGGCAGACTTATGTTAGAACATGGCTAAACGGTACCGGGTTAACATAACGCGGCCCGTAAGCGGGCCGGCTGGGGCAAGCGGAACCACCTATTCCGAGCGAAGGCCGACTGTTTGCCGAGTGTTTGGTGCTTACTGGGTTCCGGGGGAGTTTACATTTCCGGTACATCAATTTTTAGAAATCAAGCACTGGTTATAGATATATGTTTTTCTCATATTTAGAAGACAATTTTTTTAAATTGAATGCAGGTATACCTAATGTCTAAAAATTACCTATTTCTTTGCTTAAGTACATCAGGTATGCTCAAAATTGGTATGCTCAAAATTTTGGCAAAACATAGACAAGCGGTTTGTTATGGTTAGTTTTTTATTAAAAAATATCTAAAGAAACGATATGCGATCTGCTAACCCTGCTTACGAGCAGGGTCCCAGATCACTTACTCGATCCTTTATCCCAGTAAGTTTACGAACAAGAGTCGAGGTAGTAAACGAACACTTCTTACCAGGGTGACGGATCACTTACCCAAGTAGGTTTCAGAAAACGCCTTCGTAAATAAACATATTTTATATATATTTTAGCGCCTGCAACTAAAAAAATACATTTAGAAGCCATACCTGTAAGCAAGGAAACAAAATTTGATGAAGGAGATATTAGCGAAATGTTGTTTGTGTTGCAGGTATTTTAAAATTTTATTATTTATTACTAAAAACTAATTTAAATTAATTTAAGCATTCTAACTTGCAAACGTGTCAACCAACAAAAGTAAAGCAAATGTTTGCATCGAGGGCTTGCAGGAAATCTGTTATGATCGGAACACCACTTTTACCTTCAGTTATGAAAAAAATAGTGGATCATATGGGTGATATTCATCAACCATGGGTAAGTCAAATGTAGTAAATTAAGTAAAATATTTACCAACAGAGATGTCCTAACTTTGACAACTCACGGCGACATGATTGAAAAAAAATCTTTTTCATTAGCTTTCTTTTATATTTATGAAAAAAAATAGTAGATCATATATATGAATATCAACCATGGGTAAGTCAAATTTGTAAAAAGAAGTAAAATATATATAAATATTTACCAACAGAGATGTCCTAACTTTGACGACCATGTTTGAAAAAAAAATCTTTGACATTAGCTTTTTTGTATTTATACGTTTTTCCATATATCACTTTACGCTACCAGAATGTTAGAAACGGTTTAAATTTATTATCGACATTCATGTCCAGCGCCGGATTTAGGGCAGCATACAAAATATAAGTGTTATTTATGATTTATTTGTTTCTTTTCTTAACTAAAAAAATATTCTCTTTAGTTTTATAATAATTTAGAAAAATGTTTTTTCTGAGTTTATTTGTTGGTTGGTTGGTTGGTTTATTTGTTGTTTAGAATTGTTACTTAATTTATTACCCTGCTGAAAATGACGGATGATTGCGGATATAAATTCTTCGTCGAAACCGGGTAAAAGCAGATGATTGCGGATATAAATTTTTCGTCGAAGCCGGATAAAAGCAGATAAGAGCGGGTAAAAATATCTGCTTTTGTCCGCATCGCTATATCCGCGTTGTGTTTTATGTCCGGTTAGTACACCCCCGCAATCATTTGTAATCATCTGCTTTTAACCGTCTCCACTGCGTTTCGTTTATATCTGCATTTGTCCGGGATCATCGGAAACGTCTGCTTACGTCTGGTTTTATCCGCGATTAGCTGCATTTTTTTCGTCTATTTTTGTCGGGTTTCATCTGCAAACGTCTGGTTTTATCCGATTTTACCCGCAAACGCCTGCCTAGTCCAATTTCACCCGCAAACATCTGCTTTTATCCGCGAACATCTGCTTTTATCCGCAATCGTCTGATCTTATCCGGTTTTACCCGCAAACATCTGCTTTTATCTGCGAATGCCTGATTTCATCCGATTAGTGCACCCCCGCAATTATCCGTAAATTTCTGCTTTTGTCCGGCTTTACTGCGTTTTGTTTATATCTTTATTTGTCCGGGATCATCTGCATGTATATAGAAAGCTTGGGTATGATAAAAATAAATATTATATTAAAGTGCTCAACTTTGTAAAAGTTACTTATGCCCAAATTAATCAAATTGGGTCAAAAAAAAATAATTATATTACTACCGTTTTTTGCTCCAGTTCAAACATTATAATTTTTATGTATGCAATGGCTCTGTGGCAGTGGAAGGAATTTAAAAATATATATTTTTTTTTCACCAAAATGTTTATTTTGAACATTAGTTAGTTTTCCAAAATTAAACACTTTGATTTTCAAAAAAAAAACCAAATCGGCGGATCCCCGCTTTGTCTGAAATATGAAAATATTTATATTTTTAAAATTGACCGGGGGCCTCCATTTAGCTTGTTTTTTTAAATCAAATTACTTTATTTTGTGAAAGTTAATTATTCTAAAAATAACATTTTGGCTCAAAAAAGTTTTTAAACTGTTTTCCACCTCCGTCTGAATATTATAATTTTTATATTTAAGATGGCTTTGGGGCGGTAAACCACCGCGGTGGAAGGAAATTAAAAAAAAATTAAAAAATTACAAAAAATATTTACCATACACAAGTATTCTATATACAGGCGTTTTCAATTTTAAATATATTTATATTTCGCACCACCCTAGTGTATGCTCCTACCAGCGGTGTTGTCATTTTAAGCGACTTATCACCAAATGGGCGATTTGAGAACTGCCAATTGGACTAAAACTTTTAAATTGGGGATTGGCGACAAAATGGTCGTGGTCAAATATTTTTTTTAAAGACCTTATTTATTTTGTTTTTAAATTTGCAGCTTTTAACTGGTTCTAGTGACGTCATTTTTCTTTTTATATTCATATTTTTCAAAAAAATTCCTATATTTATCAATCAGGTTTTATAAAATAATCATTTTTCTTGAAGAGACTTTTTGAACGAAAAAGATTTAGTAGAACATAAAGTGGCGCAAGCCATGCTATCTTCTGCATTGCGCAAAAAAGCAAATGAAAATAAATTGCAAAAAGACGCAGATAAAATGACTAGCACATTTTGCAAGAGGAAAACTTCAGTTGTCTCTGATACCATTAAGATGCAAAAAAATAATGTTTTAATGTGATAAGTTTTTTTATAGAATGCTTTTGTTTTGTTTTTAATATGTATTTTTTTATACAATATTTATTCACGTACGGTAGCCCAAACTACATTCTGGTCCTCCCCCCATCATCATTTATGTACGATGCCTTACAATAATTTGATCTGTGATAAGAGTTTTGTTATGTTACGTTTAAACTATTTTTATTAATATTACAGTATTTCCTTTGTTTTATTAGGTTTCTATTGCTTACTTTTATAAACTAAATGGAGGTTACTTTGTTACTATTTGAAATTCGAACTTTAGCGGGCGCCTTGTATTTAGTTTAAAAAAATGGCGGATTTAATATTATGGCGGACATTTTTTCTGAAAACTTGTTTTACTAAAATTAGTACGCATGGGTGTTTTCGGACGCTGATAACAATTTTGAGGTTTATTTTACAAGAAACGAAATGGGGGATGCGATATGGTGTATAGTTTTTGTTTAAATCTTTTTATAATGACTAATATTATTACGCGTTTTCCCATCTGGTTAATAGTTAGTGATAAAGTTTTGGTCTGGCTTTTTATATTATTTTTTTAGTGAATTGTGTTATATTTTCATTATTATTATTATTGAGTATGAGTATGGGAACGTATGGCAGGCCCCAAATATATTATCATCCACTGATCTCCCGGGGTTATTTTACCCCCTTTCCGTTCTCCTGCCTATCCCGCCAAATCACAGCATTACCTGTGTTTGTTGGATCCGAAGTTTTTACGCCGGCTGGTAGATCCACCCTAGGAGGTCGTGGATGACAGTGTCTATGGTTAAGGCCGCTCCACGGATTTTTGTCAGCCGGGTCGGGCCATACGTCCAGTTTAGGAAGGGTTTTTGGAGGACATTGAACTGACCCAAAACTAAGTACAATCCGGAATTCTCCTTAACCAGGGCTTTAGTAATAACCCCATTCATTTGGTATTCCTGAATGGGGGTGGGTGGATTAGTATGCTGCTAGCGCCTTTCCTTGATGGTGTACTTCCTGTTCGTCGCTGTCCGAGTCGGATTTCGGTTCCTGATAGCCGCTTTAGAATTGTTTGCCCCCCTGTGCGATTGAGTCTTATCTTTAGAACCGAAGTGTTGCCGGCCGTACCCCGCCGTAATTAGTGCCCTCTACCTATGTGGAAATTCGTTTAACCTACTGGAATTGTCGACCCTCGAATTATTTATTTTTTCCCACTGTGCGTGATCCCCATTCACTTGGGGTTGGATCCATCTTTGCGCCTCACTGTGCATTGCGGCTATACGCTTACTTAACGGTTTTTACTTAATTTATGACCCCTTACGTATTCGTAATCTATAGATGTAAACATAAATAAATAAATTTCTTTAGGATGGTGTCTTTTGCCTAATGTTTATCGTAACTTGAGTGATTAATGGCTTCTTATGTGCCCTTGTGTTTATATATTTTTTTACTGTTTCATTTGCATGAGAATCTTGGAAATTGTTTGCGACTAATTAATTTTACCTGAAGAATTATTGTTAGTTAAAGGTGTAGCATTTAAATTTCAGTAATTAAATATTTTGAGGAAAAAATAAATATAATCTTGGGATTTTTAAAATTAGGATAATAAAGCAACCAGTTTGTTTGTAAATAGAGTTTATTTAATAAATTTATTTAAGTTATAAATAGATATGTTTTTTGCTGTGACGTCATACATTTTTTAAATTCCTTTGGAGTTCGTGAATTTTAACCTGAAAAGTAAAATTGTATCAATGGAAATTTTGCGTAAACAGGAAATATTACATTAATAGTCAGTAGTTGCCATTTGTCACTTTACCTACCTTTATATGGATGCTCCAATTCGATCGCTTGGCACAATGATTTTGATCGACAACAGTGTTCTCTAGGTTCCTGAAAATAATAAAAAGATGTACCTATTTGATTGTGATGGAAAATACTTAAATGTTTCCTTTTCAATTGATGCTTATTTCCAGTAATATTTTTAGTTATTGTTGGTTGATACTTACATGTTGTGGTTTAATTTGGTTTATTTACTGTCATTTGTTTTGCATAAAAATCACTGTGTTTTTTTTTACGATTACAGTCCATAATGATTTATTTCCCTAAAAATTAATAACAATACAATATTTATCCATATTATGAATAATAGTTGGGTATTTGATTAGCGCAGTTAATTGAATCGTTTCTTATTGGTGCATTTTTGTAACCCAGGATATCTATTGGCTTATAATTTATTTCCTGTTAAGTATGGGTTCTTTTTCTTTGGAAATTAAAAGACTTAAGGCCGTTTTGTTTGATATTCTATGGTGGTAAAATTTGTGTGGTTTTTTTCTATTGTTTCATTTTTTTAAATATTTTAGATAATTAGTAAATTAAAATTTGTTTATGACAATATTCGCGCATGTCTAAAGAAGGTCAAGGAAGTCTTCTAGAAGGAAGTCAGTCCTTTGGTGAATCTTTATCGTTGTGCACATACTTGTTGGAATTTTTGAATTGAACCTTTTTGAAGGGATTTAAGTGCCACGATATTTTTATATAGGAAGAGAGTGTGTTGGATTTTGCAGTTGTGTTGATTTTCGATCTCGATTCCTACAGCGTTTGCTGGATTTTTCAAGATTACCAAAACTATCCAGGGTTACCAATTGAATTGAAGTTTTTTTTGCTTTGAAAGCCTAAAAGCTGATACCTACCATCGCAGTAAGTCATTTTATTTTTTCCTTCTTCCTTCAGTTCCGCTAATTATTTTATTTGTAGAAACAAGTTTGAAACTTTTCATTTGGAATTTATCTCAAAAGGAAAAAAAACCCTTCATTGAAGGTATGTTGTATGTAAAGTTAAGGGTTGTTACTTAATAATATTTTTTATAGGTTTTTTTTTTGGGTTGTTTCCTCGAATTCTTTTTACATTTTAATATTCTGGAAATTCATTGAAGAAATATATTTGGACGTTTTCTGGCAGGAAAATCTTGAGAGCCGCCGCCATCTTGTATTGAATTTACCTCGGGAATCTTCAGGTGCCGACACTTAAGGTCAGATCTATCCTGTTTTTGCTTTTATATAGTTTTTTTGTTATATCTTTGATATCAAATAGATCTGAAAATAAATTAATTTAAGTTTATTTTAAATAGTTACAATAGAATTATAATAATAATATTACTTACCTATTTTCCCTGTAAATCATTTATAGCTGTCAGATATAAAAGAGTTTTATTTATTTAAATTAGTCTTGTTATTATATATATATATATATATATATTTTCTGTCAGAAAGATTTTGGTATAAACTTTAATACATATTGCTTCTTGAATTAAACATTTTTTTTATTACTGTTTTAAACTTTGCTACTTTTTAATTTTAGTAACAATCACTTATTGTTACTTGGCGCCCAATATATAAGTAAAGGTAAGTAACTCTTTAATAAACTGCCAATCCCAGACCCTGAAAGGCTGAGCTGGTCAGGTTTATAACGATATCGGTCTATTTGTACGTTATAAAGGTTGCGTATTTCGTATTAACTAGTATTAATATTATTGGGTGGTCATGGTCATGCAATTTGGTAGCTACTTATCTAGTTTATGCAGACTTGGACTTCGGGATATTTGCCAGGCAGGTGTGCTAAAATTGATCCTTATCGCATTCCGCCCGCACGTATCGTAGCCCAGGAATTTTTCATTGGAACTGATCGTCTCTCTCACACCTTTTAATCAGGTCAAACACTTGAGGACTTAGTCCAGGGGGAGGTACTACACACAATTTGCACTCTTTTGCACATGGGACAGTTATCACGTGTAGAATCGATATTGATTTTTTTTTTATATTTTTTTAC